GTAGGAACCTGTGACTTTATCCAATTGCTCGAATGATGTATGTGAGTCGATTATACAGTGAGTTAACACCAGTGAAACTGAAGTTGTGATGAATTAGAGCACCTATGGTTGGTTTATAAAGTTCACAGTAATGCACAACCCACCCATCTCTTTGGGAAGCTGGACAGTCTTAGCCAACACGTGTCTGTAATGTTGTGTTCTCCTTTCTCTCTCTCATGTAGGTGGGTTTTCTCAGATGTACAGATGTGTTTGTGACTGGTTGGGGTTATCTTACAGAGAAGAGGTGCAGTGGGTGAGTATTACTTACATTCTTTTGGGCATGTGCACAGCACTGACAGATCCTGGTTCAGCTGTGCCTAAGCGTTGGCTGGATGACATAAAAGCCCTTTGGTTAAAAGGATAAACTCAACATTATGTGAAGACACTACCCCTTACCCCATAGCTTCAGATCTCTCAAGGTCTTCTCTGTGCCCTTTCTTCTTCTGGTGCAAAATGGAACAACTCTTTCTCTGCTGTATATACAGTATTTCATCTGCTCTGTGAAATTCTTGTTTCTGTGTGACTCATTGAGCTCTAGCAGATGTTTTAAAGTAACAGACGTATTGTTAACACCAGCTATGACTAACTGTTTCCTTTCCAGGATGTAGACACCATCTATTTGACACAAGACACCAGGGAACTCAACCTCCAGGACTTCAGCCATCTGGAGAACAGGTAAGTGTCGGCACAGAGTTAAAATGTTACATAATGGAAAAATTCAAACTGAGCATAAATGAAGAGCATGTGGCACAAGAGGAAAAAAAAAATAAAAGCAGTGTATTGTAGGTGTGACAGGTTTTATTTTGTAACAAATGCTGATATCACCACAAAGTCTTTTTGTAACAAATGCTGATATCACCACATAGTCAAATGTAGTAACTTTGACCTGAACTCCTCTCCTCAGGGATCTGGTGGCCATAATAGCAGTTCTTGAGTTTAACCAGTGGTTCACCAAGCTCTCCACCAAGGACTACAAACTGGTTAGTTCTCATGTTCAGCATCTTCTTCTCATTTTTCTCAGCGCCCCCACCTCCAGGCGTCTCTTTAACTCTGTCCTTTTAATCTGAAAATACTGAATTCTCTATATCATATACAGTAAATAACAGTAGTGTCCCATAACAACAAAGGCAGTAAATGGGTTTTGTCTCCTCTTTAGTTTCCTATCGCAGTAGCACATACAGTATATTAAAGCATCACTGTATATTTCATCATTAGGCTGGATAAACAGTATAATAGTGTTTGAGTGTTGCTACAAAATGACAGATAATCCAGATTTAATGTCACCTCAGAGTTAAGTAGGGTTAAAACTCACTGTATTTGTCCACGTTTGTACAGGTCCTGCTTATCACTTCCTTACTGTACTACTACTGCACCAGCACTTCGGGTACAAAGAGCTGCGGCAGTGGTTTCTACTCTGTTAGCTCACTTACTTCCAATGTCAGTTTGCCTCTCTTCAGTAGTGACTGTCTTTTAGGGCCGTGACAGGCCTGTGTGTCTCTGTCCATCTGCCAGTGATATATTACTGTATATTTGGCAGAAACATGGAGAATTATCTTGATATTAATTAAAATATTGATGAGACAAACAAGAGTGCTATCCCATTATAAATTACATACTGTAGTTCAAAGTTTAAATTACAATTGCATGGTGAATTTCAGCATTATGGAACTTAAATTCTGAATGTAAATAAAAGTCAAAACTTGTAACTTTTTGTCTCACCAACAGTTGTAAACCCAATTATATAGTGTTTATAGTATGTCTCCTCTTTGCCTAATGCATCCCCGCTCTATCTGCATTAGCTTTCTCGCCATCTACGCTGCATTTGTCTAACTACTCTGTATGTACAGTATCTGCCTATACAGAATATTTCACCCCTTTGTTTCCGCCCCCTTCCCTGCAGTCTGTTGACTAAGGATCAGTCCAATGTTCTTGTGCGATAAGACACTTAATCCTGACGAGACAAAGGGGTTCATGTCTCAGGCTGCTGCTCCCCTGCAGCACTCTATTACTAACTCCCCATCTCAAAGCTTAACTCTGTCTCACCAGTTTCCACCTGCAGCTTCCCCAAACAATTATCTCACACCTCTGTCACAGACTGTTGTGTTTGTATTGAATATCCTGTCCCTCACCGTGCCACATGCATGTTTAGTTACGAATGCTCACACAGACATAGGTGTACAGTGTCTTGTGGTTTCTAGATTAGTGTGCAGAGCTTGGTGGACAGAGTTAAAGGGAGAGATGCCAGATGAATAAGGAAATGAGTCAGAACGTACAGTATCAGGAAGATCAGATTTAAAGAAGAAAGCCAGAGCAAGAGGTGGACTGAAGAGGAACTGGTAAACTAATCTTTTAATTTCCACAGCCAGCTATAAGCCAGTTGATGTTCCTGCCAAACCTACTGAAATGCAAAAGTTCAACTCTAG